CATGCTCAAGGCCCATCAACATTGGGCAGCCCCTACTAGAATGTGAAGCCTGTCGGACAGCTATTCATACTAAATGTTTTAAAGTAGCAGGTTTCTGCCCTACCAATGGTCTATGGGTATGTAAGGTTTGTTCACTGAACGTGATACCACGCTACAACCCCTTCTCTGGGATGATTAGTGATGGTGGTGATAAATTCTACGATGATGAAGGTGGATGTGATGACGAAACTATTCAACAAATTTCGAATGTTCTAGACCAATGTCAGAGCTACTCCACAGCTGATCTTAATAGGGTAGTCAAGGAGCTTCAAAACTCATGTAATCTTTCATCCACACACTCAAAATTCACATCCTACTTTGTCAACTTAGATGGTAACAAAACCAACTTCGATTGTCTTAACGTTGAACTCAAACGAATTGAACTAAATTTCTCTGTAATTGGTATCGCTGAAACAAACACAGATGAACCTCTTAAAGAACTATACAGAATACCGCAATACAACAGTTTTTATCAGGTCACTCAGGAAAACAAGCTGAAAGGGACTGGTGTTGCCCTCTATGTAGCAAATCACCTTAATGCAGAAGTCATAGAAAATCTTGGCTACTGCACGCCTGATATTGAATCAATCTTTGTTAAGATCACTCAATCATCCAGCAAGCTCACACTCATCTCAGGGGTCATCTATCACCCTCCAAATGGTGACATTCATAATTTCCTTAAGTCATTCGATCACATATGTAAACTCCTCCCTAAATCTGGTGTACGTATAATGGGGGACTTTAATGTTGACCTTCTTAAAGTGAATGGTGACTCTGGTCATGGCAACTATACTCTTTTTGAAGAATGCTTATTTAGAAATGGTTTCGCTCCCGTTATTTCGATACCTACACATGAGAGACCAAATTGCAAACCATCTTGTATTGACAACATCCTCACAAATGACCCTGGTAACTGTGTTCTCTCAGGTTGTATAACAGATAGAATTGGTGACCATGCTCCAACATTTGAATTCACTGACATCGAATTCGAGGTTGGTCCAAAAAGTGAAAAACATGTCCAGTACTACGACTTCAGTAATGCCAACCTTAATAAATTCCTAACCCTACTGAACACTGACCTCTCAAAGCTCCACACTTCTCATGAATTCTCGGATTTTACTAAATTCTTTGATCATGTACTTGATTCAACATGCAAACTTGTAAAGCCAAAAACTACTAAACGGAATCCTATCAATAACCCCTGGATAACAGATAGTATTTCATCAGCCGTTGAAAAAAAACATGAATTAAAAGATGCCTGGATTACATCTAAAACTAAGGCAAACCCTGATGAAAACCAGGATCTCGAACAAACCTTCAAGGTATACCGAAGGATCCTCAAATCTGTAATTAACACTGCAAAAAATACTTACTCTTGCAACCAAATCATAGAAAATAAGCACGACCGTAAGAAGACATGGCAAATCATTAATGAACTTAGAGGGAAGTGTAAAAAGAGTATCAAACCCTCATTTATAATAGACAACAGAAAAATAACAGATAGAAGGGTTATTGCAAACGAGTTCAACAAATACTTTAACTCCATTGCCTCCACTCTAAATGAATCAATAGCTGACCTGCCTATACAGGCTTCTGAATTTTCAACATTTGAAGACTACCTCCTGCCATCCAACAATAACTCTATATTCCTAACTGACTGTTCACATACTGAGCTCATGGAAATAATTTCCAAGTTGGAAAATGGCAAATCTAGTGATATCCCAATCCGTGTAATCAAAAAGTCAGCTCATCTAATCTGCCCTGTTTTAGCCCAACATTTCAACAAACTGATGATGAGCGGGGTATTTCCCGATGTTTTGAAAGTTGGGAAAGTTACTCCTATATTTAAGAAAGGAAACGAAGAGGATGTAGGAAACTACAGACCTGTCTCTACTCTGCCCATATTTGGTAAGATATTTGAAAAAGTGATATACAGCCGTATCTATAGTTTCGCTTTGTCACAAAATATCCTTGATGAAAACCAATTTGGCTTCCGCAAGTCCCATTCTACTAGCCATGCTGTTAACTACTCTGTTAGAATTATTGAAGAGAGCATAAAAAAACGAAACCATGTTCTAGGAATATTTATAGATTTGAGTAAAGCATTTGATACAATCGACCATAGTACACTCCTAACAAAACTAGATAGGTATGGAATAAGAGGCAATGCAAACTGTCTCATTAAAAGCTACTTATCAAATAGAACACAGTACACAGAAGTCCTTAATGAAAAATCCGAAAACCTTATCATTAAATATGGAGTTCCACAAGGCTCTGTTTTGGGACCGCTCCTTTTTCTTCTATACATAAATGATATTTCCAATTCCTCAGATTTAGGAACTTTCATACTATTTGCCGACGACACCAACATTTTTATTAATGGCAAAACTGTAGAAGAAGCTTATGAGAAAGGCAACAAATTGCTTAGCTGTATAAAAAAGTATATGATCCTTAACAAACTACACATCAACATGTCAAAGTGCTGTTATATGCATTTTAAACCAAAGGCTAGTAAACCAGTAAAATTTCCAGATTCGCTTCAACTCTATATTGATGGCTTTCCAATTAAAAAACCAAAGCAACAAAGTTTCTTGGAGTTGTTATTGACGAACAGCTTTCCTGGGGGCCTCATATAACAGCACTTAAACGAAAGTTAAACTATGCCTCTGCCACCTTAAATAGAATTAGGGACTCTGTACCGAAGGAACTCCATAAAGACCTCTACCACACACTATTTGAATCCCACCTTACATATTGTATCTCAGTTTGGGGTGATGCAGCACTCTTTAGGACAGCAAGTATATGGTTGTCTCAGAAGCACTGCGTACGGGTCCTCTTTGGTGATAAAGAGGCATACCTAAACAAGTTCTTAACATGTGCAAGAACAAGAGAGTTTGACAACCAGGCACTTGACCATACATTCTTCCAACTAGTATAGAGCACTGTAAACCACTTTTCAAGCAACAAAACATCCTGGCTTTCAAAAATTTATATACATATCACACTTTTATGGAAGTTTTTAAAATACTGAAATTAAGGTGCCCAGCATCACTGCAACAGCATTATCAGCCATCTTCTAGAAAGGAAACCACTCTCATTTCACAACTCCCATCTAATGACTTCATATCAAGATCCAAAAAAATTTGGAGCACAATTGCACCTAAACTTAAGCTTTTTGACTACTCCTACAAGATTAGCCTTGCTAAAAGTCGCCTGAAAAAGGCACTTCTAAAGCTGCAACATGCTTATAATGATTCAGCATGGACTTCAAGCGATTATGACATAATGCAGCTGTCATTTGAAAACAATCCCCTTCAACAAATTTAATCCAGTGTTCTCGGCCCACAGGTTCCTCCTATTAAAAAATTTTTAATTTTGGTAAATGTGTGCTGACTCCACCACCTATGTATTTAACCTAATATTTAGTGTATTACAGGTAGACATTGACTTAGGTAGGTATTTTTCTCTTAAGGTAGATATTAAGAATTTGGTAAATTTCTTAATTGTATGACTATTTCCATTATTGAGACGTTTTAAATATTTGATTTAAGAGGTTTTTTTTATAGGACTGGTTCACAGTGTGAACAGATTCCAGATTTATATATTTTTTAATTGATATTTAATAAATGATTAAAAGAACCAATTTTAAGGTTGCCATAGTAAAGCCTTTAGGTCCAAAAATATACCCATTATGCTCACTTAAAAACAACTCTAAATCAGTAGGCTGTCACTCTATTAATGCACCACACTGCTTCCCCCACTGCACTAAAAGTTATACAATAAATTCTACAATCCTAATTTTGTATCGTGATGGAGACCGGTGTCCATACAAAACATTTACTAGGTTGCCGTTTGGTGTGAGCAATAGCGAACAGCACGCACACTCCTTTGCCCCGTCAACCTATATCTAATCTATTTAAAGAGTGACAACCATACTACACATTGAATTAGGATTCCTTTAAATATCAAATTGATTTATTGTAAACTTGTTTACTCTGTAATAAATGGCATAAAATTGAATTTTTGTTTAACTGAATTTTTGTTTAACTGAACTTAAAATTTTCGTGAGAAGCTCTCGGGAAACTAAAGTAATGAACTTAAGTTGGATCATCTGGGAAATAAATGTAATCATAAGTCAGTAAGATACCAATTTGTTCCCCGCAAACATACCCTTCTATACTTATCCTCTGGTAGCAATCATCAATGTACTTCTCCACCACATATTCCTCTCCTATGTCCGGCATTGTTTCACCAAGCCTTGTATTCACCAGATTTCTGGAACCTGTGCAGTAAACCGGCTTTGCAATTCAGTCTTTCTGATCAAAAGGCCAGTCAACACGACTGTTGGTGCGCAATGTGTAGGGAACCCCTTGCAGATATTTGAGGACAGATCGTGCTTTGTTGGTGACTAACTTGTCCAATCTTGCGGATCGGGAAAAACTGACATCTCCATAGTTTATGAGTTCACCTAACATTGCGTACGAACTGTCACAAGCAGTAATAAATCGGTTTGTTCCTGCATTTAGCGGTCAAATAATCAAATCTGTGTGTAAGTACCGAGAGTTCCAAGAGTACTGACATATTGAGAAACAGCTTATAATAATCAACCATAATGATTAATGTTGTAGTTGCTGAATTAACAGAGTACGTCTGATAGGGTTGCTATTCTGTGCTACACAATGATCAACTCCTTTTTAAAGTTGAAAACTATTGTTACGTTAAAATGTCACTTATCTCATGCTGTTCTTCTCTGTAAAAACCCTCATACTTGATTATCGATTTACACTAGTACTAGAAAGCTTTTCCAAATCTATAACCAACTATGACAATATAAGATGACCATGAAATTAAATTTCGTTACGCAATTTCGAATGGTAAAGAGAGAGTCACCCCCATTTTCCTCCTCCTGTAAATTTTTGAATCTATATTAAATAATATGTTGAACATTCCTTCCTAGCATTATAGCATTATGTCAGACACAGATTACAGTGAATACGATTCAGACGAGGAGCCACACACCCACATTGCACATGGTAATCATTATTCTACCCTAATTCCTAAACATTCCAAACATGATATAACATGTCTGTGTTACATCATGCTACGACATATTATAAATTGGGTTGCATGTCAATTTTTTGGTTTGCAATACCACATTATTGCTAACTAACAATATTAAATGCCACCATTTACAAGGAACAGGAAATTTCAGTTTGTTGTGCTGCTCAGTTCATTGTGCAATGTGCATACGTGCACATGTAAGACGATTACAGGAAAACAGAAAAGTCATTTAAATCAATAGCTGGAAAAAGAATTTTTACTTGAAAATATAGTATGGTTTCTGATAATTAACTATTCAGGTCAAACCAAAGATACTGGGCTTTTGTTGAACGGTGCTTTAGCAAAGGTTAAGCATTGGAAATCAAAGTATCTCAAATGTAACAAAGAAAAAGAAAAGGGTCTTAATGTTTTGAAGGATGCAAACATGTAAGTCAATTTTCATTGGCAGCATTCCCTACTTATTATTTATCATTTCTTCATTGTTAATGTCGTTCACTTACCATTTTCCCTAGACAAAGATTGAAATTAGATTACATAAAGGATATAATCATGTAATTTTGAGAAAATTTTTTCTTGCTGACATTAACAGTACAACACTTAATATAATAAAACATTCAAAGTAGCTTTAAATGTTTTATCCTCCTCAGTTGTCAGTCCTCTGTAAAGATATACATTAATTTTTCAGGAAAGTTAAAAATTTGACTGAGATGAAGTTAGCGTACGACAAGCTCAAAGTGGATTCTGATGTTGACAAGAGAGATTGGGAGATAAGAATTACTAATGAAGCTGAACAGACCAAAAAGTACCAAGGTTTGCCTATTGCTGGACTGTACTTTGGAACTTAATCTTGTTTCCTATGAATCTACAGTAGGTTTTTAAAAAAGCTTCCTTTTTATAATGATTATAAAACAGAAAACTCGCCTCAGTGTTACTGAAAAAGAACAAAGCGAGTTTGGAAGAGATGACCCAGAAACATCGCGAAATTGCTGAGTTGAACAAAACGAACGAGGCTAAACTTTTCCAAACTAAAATAGGTCAGCGAGGATAATAATTGAGACGATTATTCATAATATTGAACTAAGATGAATTTTAATACCAGTTAATATGCTGTTAGAATCAAAAGTGATACAGTAAATTTTGTTTAGTCAAAATTACCCGCTGTCTAGAAGCATAAGTATAATTATCACATAATCTACGACCTCACTTAATACTGTATCAGATATTCAGATAATGGTGGAATTTATCACTAATGTCACTAAAATACCACTGTATCAGATTATGCGGGAGTAGTGAGTGGTGTAGCGAGTCTAGAGGAGCAGTTGGCTGAACTGAAGGATGAGAACAGGAACTCGAAGGAGGTAATGCAGGAACAGACCAGTAACATACAAGCCCTCTCTGGCGAAAACAGTGGTCTTCAGGTACAGCTACAGTACAATCTTAGTGTAATTATACGTACAATGCGAACGTTCGAAAGTAAATTAGTAACTAAATTTATCTTTGTAAAAAACTTAATTATGCATGCTGCTGACCGCTTCGATTTTCAATGGTGTTTTGATCCAAATGAATAAGTTTTATTCAAATCCAAAATAAGGACAACATTTTCAGAAAGACAACGAGTTGTTGAAAGATCGCTGCAAGGAACTCTCATCTCAAGTGAACGAGTTCAGGAATATCTGTGAGAAGTTGGATAAGAAGTACGGTAACCTGGCTCAAGAACATCTAGCTTTAAAGGTTATCATTCTTAAAAATACTTTTACAATCGAACTTGTTGTTCTTTGATAATAATGGAAATACTTCAGCACATTCTTTTACATCACGATCCTTCCACACAAAGGCAATGACATTATCAAGTTAACATCCTTTCAGAACGATAGCAGCATGAACAGCAGCTCCCTTACAAAGTCTATAAATGTATCTAAAGAAGAAACACTACAACTAACGAAAGAGAGGGATTCTCTAGCTCTGAACTACTCTCATACAAAGTATGTTAAATGGGTACACGTACTCAAGTTCGACACGTACTCAAGTTCGACACGTACTCAAGTTCGACACGTACTCAAGTTCGACACGTACTCAAGTTCGACACGCACTCAAGTTCGACACGTACTCAAGTTCGACACGCACTCTAGTTCGACACGTACTCAAGTTCGACACGTACTCAAGTTCGACACGTACTCAAGTTCGACACGTACTCTGTCGAACTAAAGTGCGCTACCTGGACTCTAGTTCGACACGTACTAAAGTTCGACAAGATAATTTCGACGAATATTATATCTAGATTGTAGACTGTAGGGCACGATATAATCATATTGATCGACCACAAACATACAACATTTGATATAATCACATATAACTAGGAAGTAGGAACCGAGTATAATCATCAGAAATAAGTAAAAAAACTTAGAAATCTGTAGCCCCATTCTTTAAATCACTAATAATCACATAACACATAATTCGTTCTTTTTACTCGACGGAAGATATTGGCTATGATAACACAACGTGGTTGGGTCTATATATTAATACTGTGTGAAATATCCCGTTTTAAAAGCCATTTCCACCAGAGAAGCATTAGTAGACACCCAGAAGAAGTTGGAGGAGCTACACGAGCTTTACAAGAAGGAGAAGAGTGAAGCGGATGAGAACTCAGTCCTCCTCAAGCAAGCAGAAATGAGCATCCAGCACCTCAAGGTTATTGTACACTTTCTATCAGGCTCAACTGTTACTGAGAGTGGGTTGACTCAGTGAAATGTATCAATTATTAATTAAAAATACCTAATTAAGATTAACAGCGGAGTGATACTGATAGCTAACCAGAATTTAAATTGGCTTTACTACAGGAGCTTTACACAGAGAAGGAAAGTCAGCTGAAGAAGCAGACAACTGAGCTAGAGTCTCAAGTGTGTGCTCTGAAGAAAGACGTTGAAAATACACGCGCTTTACTTCACGAGGCCCAGGTTAGTTACTTTTATATTCATTATTTACTTAATTTTAATACAAACCTATCTATTTATTAACTTGTTTGAGTCTTCAGAGTGTTCAGACTTATCGACTCATGATAATTTATAAGAATTTGTGGATAACTCTGTTAAATGTTTGTTCTTTTAAAATTTTCCAGTTCTCAGTAGGTCTATTATCAGTTTATGTTGAAAATTGTTAATTTACTGGTTGCAACATTTTCAGTGTTTAATGTAAGTTTGATAGTGGATTATGTAAAAGTAATTATGCCCCAATTAGGTCCCATTTAGGCCCCCAATCCCCACATTACAGGATAATATGTCGGGTTTAAATCCTTTGTTTGATAATGTATAGTCAGATCTTATAATGCAGGCACTTCCGTGTTTCCATAGCTACCAGTGTACGTTACCATGGATACCGCTGTAGTAATTACCCTGTAATGACCCTAGTTAAACGATTAAACTGTACTCATACAATGTAGTATACAGTGTAAACCTTGTATATTCCTCCTCTCTCCTAATTTTATAAGCTCTAAATGACAAGCAATACAAGTTTGAAGCAACTACGCTTCTTCTTCTTCTCAAATATGTTAACACATTTTTACATAATATGCCCTCATAATCAATCTCTCATATTTTCAATCATTAAGTTCATATTCAGTTCACATTCACTCACTCACAATATCAGAGTCACTCAAAATCACTGGAAGAAACCATCACGTGTGAAGGAAAAGATGCTGAGATGTTAGCAAATCTGAAGGAGACTGAGAAAGAGAAACTGTTGATAGAGATACGAAAATTCATATTTCAAAATACAGGTAACCGGTTTTAACGAGAGTTTAGTGATCCTACTCTTACTTTTTAGCAAGAAAAATGAGTCAATAAAACAAATTCTTATCTTCTACTGTTGATAGTAGTTTAAAGCTGATGCTTGTACTAAATATTTGTGGCTCAGGGTTAAAAGATCAGGTGTGCAAGTTAAAGAAGATGAATGAGAATATGGAACAGAACTACTCAATACACATCAGAAAAGCTAATGAGCAGGTCGCAATTAACAGACAGTTTCAGTTTTGTTATCATTGTTAATCCCCTTTACCTGGATATTGGTTCTTTCTTCTTTTTGTTCCACTGAATTTATTAACAAATCACAATTGTATGCTTATATATGTTATGGCACATATATATATGATATATTATATAGATCAGTGAATAAAACATTTTCAGGTAGAAGGACTGAGTAAGCAGCTCAGTGAACAGTCTCACCATCTCTCTGTTGTTGAAACTGAGCGTGAGAGATTACAGGTAAAGTGTAACAAAGCCAAACGTCTGTCAAGTCAGACTGACACAACCATACTCAAGCTCAACGAACAAGTCGCCTTAACAAGGTGAGACGAGTATATAACACTTGGTGAGGGGGGGGGGGGGGGGGGGGGTGGGTGAGGGGGGGGGGGGGGGGCTAGGTGGTTGTTATCTCTCTTTTCTTAAATTATACACCTCATGATTCATGAACTACCTATATTATTGAAGGTACCAGCTTAACTTTACTCTCAGTTATCATGTTATAATCTCAGGGAGCAGAAGTCCACTTTACAAGACAAGCTGAACAAGTCACTAAATGAGTATCAGGATGTGGAGGGGAGAGTGAACTTGGTAAATGAGACATTGGATACTGAGAAGGTACGTTAACTAAATAATAGAGAAATCTTCTCAACTTCAACTGCTGCCAGCGCTAAAAAATACGGCAACATTGCGTTACTGATGGCCCAGCCTATATATTTGGTGATATTTGCCAGAAAATGTTTTTATTTCTAAATTTCAGGGTAATTGGGGACTGAAAGAGCAGGAAATGACTAAGGAGATAGAAAACTTCAAATTGGAAGTTTCAAATCTCGAGGTAAACATTCAGTTTCTATCAATATTATCGCTTTGATTTATAATTTTAAGGGATTTGATGTATTTGTTCGCGAAAGTCACTTATATAAAATACCGCTGCACTCAGGACCAAATCAACGAGATCGATAAAAATAAAGAAGCACTCTCACAAGAGAATTTAAGTCTAAAACTTCAATATCAAGAAGAAAGGGAGGCTCTCAAGACCAATTTTGCGAACCTCACTGAGTGTAATAGAGGTAAAATCTCACTAATTCTGTATTTTGCAATAATTTTACTTCACCAACGTCTAGGTGGGTGCTCGCACAACCTGACTACATTCTTCCGGTCTCAATTTTGTCTCACGAAGTTTGGCCCCCGATTTTAGTAAACCTAATCATAGTGTTCCTTCTTGGCCCTAGCGTGACCCTAGATTATTAATTAATTACCATTTCAGAACTGGAATATAGAGTGTTCGAGTTAGGGAAGTCTCGCGAAGAGATGGAGAACCGTTATGGTGCTCAGTTGGATACCTGCCAGAAAAAGGTTGGTAGTTGTTGGATGTTGGCTGCTAGAATGTCTGGCGTAGTTCAGAAATACTCCTTCATAAAATACGGAGTCAATAATTACCAACACTCGTGAGAGCTAGGTATCATAAATTGTTATCACTCGAGCCATCGGCACGTGTAGAAACATTTCCAATACCTCGTTCTTATTTGTGCAGTTATCGCACAGTTTTCTCTTAATCTAAACAGATTTTCATACAAATTACCGTGCCAAAAGCAAGGCGCTTTCTCCAAAATCGCTGATAATTGGATATTTGGTTCTCAATTTATCAAATTGCTTGATAAATAACTGCACCTGTCAAATTTACCATACGATTTTACTAATTGCAATTACAAAACAATTTGACGGATAAAAAAATATTTTCCGAACAACTTTTATTATGCATATGAAATAGGCAATGTTCAGTTTTATCTGGAGAAATATGAACATAGCAAACTGCTGAACATTATAATAGAGTCCTGTGACGCCGAAATGGAGAATCATTACGAGAAATTATCGTCAATCGTGTTATTTCTTATTGCATTTAATTGAACAATTATAGTCTAATATGCAACTATTTGAGGTTCAGGTTTTAAAGTCAAACTCAATGAAATGCTTGTATTTGCTTTGACCCAAGTCTCTATTATATATATATTGCAGTATAACAACAATACCCAAACTATATTGTTAAACTTATGAACTTTAACGCAGATTCAGCTGCTGAACAACAAGGTAAACGATAAAACCAATGAGCTGGAGACGGTACAGACACAAAACAACGCACTCTTGATACAAGCTGAGAGACTGAAAGTGGATTCTGAACACAACAAAAGTACTATAACTCGACTGAGTGAGGAGGCTGACGCTTATAGGTAGGATCCTGATGTTATTCTATTTGGGCTCTTTTAAGGGGGCAGGGGGGGGGGGGGGGGGGGGGGTCTTCATGGAAATTTTCTCAAAATCGACTTTTTAGAACTGTTTCTAATAGAGGGGAGTAATATCTATCAGATGCTTTTGATCCCGTGGAAAAATATCGTTCCTAGTCGAAATTATTGCTGGTCAAAGGTCAGTGCGTGTGTGTAATTGTATTGCGCAAGCGATTTTTGATCGCGTGCCCTGAAAATCGAGTTTAAAAATCTATCTTCTCCTACATTTTTTGAACAATCACCCTGAAACTTTCAAGATATATGTTCTAGGGATCATTTAGAAGAGATGAGCCGAGCAGAATTTTGAGATAGGCCTTTAAAATTTTTTATTCGATTTTGAAAATCATGGACGTCGAAAAATCATCAAAAAACGAGGTCCAAGATTTTCAAAATCAAATTAAAAATTTTTAAAGGCCTATCTCAAAATTCTGCCCGACTCATCTCTTCTAAATTATCCCTAGAACGTATCCTGAAAGTATCAGGGTGATTGCTCAAAAAATGTAGGAGAAGATAGATGTTTAGGGCACGCGATCGAAAATCGCTTGCGCAATACAATTACACACACGCGCTGACCTTTGACCGGCAATAATTTCGGCTAGGAACGATATTTTTCCACGGGATCAAAAGCATCTGATAGATATTACTCCCCTCTATTAGAAACAACTAAAAAATCGATTTTGAGAAAATTTCCATGAAGACCCCGCTGCCCCCTTAAGAGGCCAACCTTTACCCACTATTACCCACTATTACCCACTATTACCACTATTACCCACTATTACCCACTATTACCCACTATTACCCACTATTACCACTATTACCCACTATTACCCACTATTACCCACTATTACCCACTATTACCCACTGTTACCCACTATTACCCACTATTACAATTGTTGTGAGCAAAACGACTGATAAAGCAGAATCTAAGGGTCGCACCCTTCCCTGGATCATAGCCGGGGCCGCAGATTAGTGTACTCTCCATGTGAAGATATTATCGCGCAGATCATAATTCATATCAGTACACTAATAACATCACTGTTGTGTGCCTCTTATCCTTTCCAGCGTTGAATATCACTGTTGTTATCATTCCTTTATAACGCTGATTGCTCGCCGCTAAATTGTTAACTGATCATTATCAGCATCGTTTCATGAACTCATTAGTTTTAACAATATAATAAATTATTTTCTGCACATCATAAATAGACCGATAATACTGATGACGAATAATTATTAAGCTATAAATCAAGTATTATCAAATAAAGGGAATGAGGAACCTTCTGATCTAAGGTGTTCTGTAGTAAACTCAGTTTTGCAGTATAATTAATCTACCCATCAACCAAAGTACGTTTAAAAACCAATGATGATATAATCTTGAAATAGAGCCAAATAATTTCTTTTCAACAGTTAAAAGTTGTGTGCCTTCTACTGTTTGCTTTAGTCAACTATTGGATCTCACTAACAGATCCCTCACTTGAAGTATTTATTAAGTAGACTTCCTGTCCATGAAACTGAGTCTAAAAACAGAGACACTTAGTCGTTCATTAAATATTAACTTATATATTACTAGTCATGCAATCCCAAATAATAGATCATGTTTTGTTTGAGTAGGCCTCTTTACCATTTCCCTGCCAATAACGTTCCTGGCATAGATGCAGATTTCGTTTTGAGGTGAACTTTTAAGTTCCCGAGAAATCTTCTTAAGTTTGCTTTTTTTTCTCCTCGGGCACATTCGTAACCTACGGGCCAGGTAAACCTAAACTACATATTGACTGTTATGTAAGTATGTGTTGAGGAGCCAAATCATCTGAAAAGCCCTAAACCTATATTTTGCTCAGGCACGTAGCCAGGATTTTTCTTTGGGGGGGGGGGGGGGGCTGTCGGCGAGCGAAGCTGCAAGCTGTGGCAGGGGTCTGGGGGCGCAGCCCCCAGCGGGGTCCAGAGGTGTTTTAGACTAAATTGAAAGTTTAATGAATTTACAAAAATGTATGGTTTGGCATAATCATTGCCTACAATCCTGACCTGAGTAATTTCCCCCTTTGAGACTTTATTTTGGGTTGAAAATTGAGTTTATCGAGAGGAAGTGAAAAATCTCTGGTTCAAATTTGGATTTGAAGCCATGTTTAATTTTTTCTGTTGAGGTCAATTTTTTGCGCAGAAAGCGCTCGATTTTAGGGGAAAAAATTTAAGTTTGCTTTTAATTTTTAAGTTCCTGTCGGCACCTGAAATCGACGAAATCTGCAGGGGTGGTTCCTGGTTTAGATCATGAGTGAGGATACAATAGCGGCAAATGACGACTCTTCTATGAGGAGGGGGCAATTTCAGACCAATCTTCTCAGACCACACAACTATAAACTATTTGATGTCACATCTCCAATGTCAGAACTTGCCCGGTACTTAGCCTCTCTTTTAGTACTAATGAGAAGGACTAGACTGACAACAACAGTTCCACGCATACTGCCTCATCTCAGTCAGATGATAACTAACAGGTTCAACAACTCTCATCTATAGTATAGACTTAATGTGTTTCTCTTCTCGTGAGGCCTCTAACAGGTTCAACAACTCTCATCTATAGTATAGACTTACTGTGTTTCTCTTCTCGTGAGGCCTCTAACAGGTTCAACAACTCTCATCTATAGTATAGACTTAATGTGTTTCTCTTCTCGTGAGGCCTCTAACAGGTTCAACAACTCTCATCTATAGTATAGACTTACTGTGTTTCTCTTCTCGTGAGGCCTCTAACAGGTTCAACAACTCTCATCTATAGTATAGACTTACTGTGTTTCTCTTCTCGTGAGGCCTCTAACAGGTTCAACAACTCTCATCTATAGTATAGACTTACTGTGTTTCTCTTCTCGTGAGGCCTCTAACAGGTTCAACAACTCTCATCTATAGTATAGACTTAATGTGTTTCTCTTCTCGTGAGGCCTCTAACAGGTTCAACAACTCTCATCTATAGTATAGACTTACTGTGTTTCTCTTCTCGTGAGGCCTCTAACAGGTTCAACAACTCTCATCTATAGTATAGACTTACTGTGTTTCTCTTCTCGTGAGGCCTCTATCAAAAGAACTGATAACCTCTCACTGCCTAGCGTGATACTCATTTTGTTTACCACTTTATCTTTTTTTCTCCCCTAAAAACGCAGTAACAATAAGGCAGGAGCACTGGCATGGAATTTATTATTTTCAGTTAATGTCGAACACGGCGCGGAGGTTGAAAGTCGGAGTTTTTCTTCGTGCGATAAAGTTAGGGTCTCGCATTTCTCTCTCGTTATAATCACTTTATTCTTAGTTAAATTAACGACAATTTAGCAGGTTATTTATGGTAAGTAGCACCTTCAGCAGTTAGTTAATAGAGATCTCCAGTTAATCTAGAGCGTTTCCACGGCTGCTCCTGATCATTCTTATCTCTCATCACACTTTATCATAGCAAACATATAGCTCAAAAGAAGAGATGTGAAAAGATAACATTGATAAAGCACTCAACTCATTAACAAACAAAACATATCATTATCATATCTGAGGACTTTCAGATGTTTTTTATGTTATGTCACGGAAAATGTTTGACCCAAACCATAGTTGCCTCAGAAGGTAATTGTGATTGACGTCATAAAATCAAAACTAAAACATGCTTGCTTTATAACATGATATTTATTTCCTCCGTGCGCGTGGGATTAATCTACTCGTGGTCAACCTTGGATAGGTTAGTAATTGACATTTTATTTAACACAATGCATCACTAACCTAACCAACTCAACATGTTAATATTACTATCAAGCTACTTAATACGCTTATCTTCTTACCCGTCGTCTGTATGGTCACGAGTTTTAACTACTCGAGATCGGCTCCGGAAAGCTTTGCTTACAACGTATTATCAAAGTTACTATTTGATCCAATCCAGGATTGATATTAAACAAAATTGTGGTAATTAAAACCATTATCAAAGTATTCAACGTAACAAAAAAAAACAAGCAGACTCCTAACGAGCGATAACTTTACTTTATAAAACGAATAGTCGCTACTTCTAATGATTGAGCCTAAGTAATCGCAAGGATCGTTTTGTTAGATCACTAAATATCACCATGGAGAAACTTGCTATTTATAAAATCAGAATTTTTAATGATGATCACAATTTCCAGTCATTAACAAATTTACCAGGTAATCATTACCGGTGTTCTTTCAGAATTGGTATTAATGACAGTACTTCTGACGCTTTTGCTCGGTCTTTAGGCTCGTTTCCTAGCTGTGTTTCGTTATGATCTTCACACCTGTTTGTTTGCCAGATATTATCTCCGAGTGCTGTCTACTTCTTCTAACACGTTTTATAGAGATATGATCAGCAATCATATTGTCAGTTAAACTTCCGTTCACCAACCGTGTCATACACCTCCAGTACTCAATAGTATACTAATGTTGTAATATATAAGTTCGTGTGCCAATTTCGTTTGAATTTAAACATACCTGCACCACTAACCCGGAGATTTACATATTGTTTGGTACCCTGGTACCTAACATTCTCCCTGTTCACTTCCCATATGATGTGGTAAGGGAGAGTTTAATTGGGCACTAACATCCACTGTCAGCAGGCGCATCAACTAATTTTACTCAATTTGCCAACTCTCACTTTCACTACTCTTCTTCTTCCCACGCCATACAAAACTGATTTTTATACGTTCTAATCTTGTGCTTCGGATTAACCAGAATTCATATTCTTTGACTCTATTTCTTTTGTAATGTGGGCTTTTAAAAGAATCTGTTGGCGGACAATAAGCTAGCTATTAGTTATTATCTAACGTTGCATGGTAAACCGCGCTCTTTTATCCAGTTAAGATAAGTATTAATAAACTATTGGCAGTATATCGAGTGCATAGGCAATAAAAATGCTATTGGATTTTTCTAGATGATTCGTTTTGTCTATATATTGGCTGATGCTGTCTAAGCTCTATTTA